TGAATTAGACACCTTAATTCATGTTCTTCTATATCTTTTTCTAATGTTGCCCGTAAATATTCCAAAATCATTTTTTCTTGAAAATAAGAAAATTTTAATTTTAATTAAATCCGAATAAGAAAATCTTTGGAGTAAATAAGTTATCTTTGTATCAAAATTTTGGATAAAAATTAAATCTGATAATTTTTGTCTGAATTAGGTTCTGAATAATCAATTCCAAAATAATTTGAAAAATACCCCTAACTTGTGAATTTTCCTTGATTGGTTCCATATTAAAATTATTTAAAAATATGTTTTGTGAAAAGATTTGATTTTAAATCTTATTCCTCCTTCCTATTGCTAGTTTCTTCGAGTATTATGATTTATTAGTTGCTTTATTTTAATAATTTTAGCTTATTTTTATGATTATTGAATAGTCCATGTTTATGCTAGAACCTCACCTTTTCATCCACCAATTACTACCACAAAGTTCTTCCAGAAACTTCTGTGTTTATGACCTAAGATCTAAGAATCTCCTCCTAACGGTACTATTTTTCCCTCTTGGTACTTACTTCCCTAACGAATTCTTTCTTAGATTAATGATCACATTCAGTTCAAGCAGGACTTATGCCTTTTGATTGTTAGTTAAACATATATTAACAATAATCATAAATATAAACATAGATTATTAAGATTAAGCTACTAAAAAATTATACCTCTTAGAAGCAATAATAAAGTCGGAATAAAGAATTTAATGTGAAAGTATAAATTTATATTAAGGTGTATTGAAAAGTATTTTTATTAATTGTATATTTTTGATTGCGTATATACAAACATGATAAGAACTTCCTTTTATAGGTGAATGAGAAGTCTCCAGAGATAATACATTATTGTCTTTACATTAAGAAAGGATAAAATTATTTGCTATCCTTATCTAAAGTACTAAAAATAACAAACTTTACCTAACTTTTGCCTAACAATAATATACATGATAAAAAGTTGAAAGGGACATACCCCATTTCATAGCCTTGTGAGTCAGGATTACCTTTTCATATCTTAGAAGGGTCAAGTAACTATTCTTTTAATACTTGTATTTCTTGTCTTTTTCAACCTTTTCTTGTCGGCAATAATTTCGTTAATTTTACGTCATTAGTGACGTATCTTTTTTGCAATTTACACAATTAATTGATTATCTTGTGAAGATTCCGATGATCCTGATTTTTCCCCAAGACATACTTCTTCACATGTATGCCTCTATCAATTTTGGCCTTGAATGTTTGACTTCAAAATGGAAAAATAATTTTTTTGTAATATCTGAGTTATAATAAATTATCCCTGTTTTGTCTTCTCTTAGGAGATTTTTTTCATCCATTTTGTATTTGGACCAGCCAAAGTCTTTAGAAATTATTTTGGCTCTGATAATTTCTACTTATTGTGGGAGATCTTATAAGTGTAAGGTCTTTGGACCCGAATTTTGCACTTGAAATTCTTCAAATTTAATATCCATATTCTTGAAATATAACCAAATTAAATTATATCTTGGATAATTATTTTGAAAATCTGGATATAATGATGTTATTTCCAGTTTTGGACAATTATTGTGAAAATCTGGATATAATGATGTTATTTCCAGTTTTGCATTTTGTGGAAATTCTCTAATTATGGTTTCTAATGTATCAGTTAAGAATGTTGGTAAATATGGAGTGAAGTCATATAATGATGGAACATTAATTATATTTTTCAGTCCATGTTTAAGCAAATTGGTTAATGTTAAAGGGTAATCTCTAAATTTAAAGGGTTTAAAAGTTGGTAAAGAGATCCTTGCATTCCTAATGGCAGAATCTAATTTACAATAGCATTTACCCTCCTGATTTTCAGGGCAGTCTTCAAACATGTTTTGAAACCGTTTATAGTTATTGTGAACAAAATCTCAATCAGTGGAGATTCCATTATGGATAATTTGGTTGTTACACATTTGGGCCAAGGCTTCTTGTAACAAAACAAATGTTTTTATTCCCATTTCTTCTACAAAGTCTTGGAGGTGTCTGAATTGATGGTTTTCTCAAATTTATCAAATTTTTGATGACTTTTGAGTTTTTTTGGAAAATTTAATGTTTCAGTGAAAGTTTTTTTTTATCTTTTCTTCTAAACATTCAAGTCTTGCTTGTAATTTGTCAACCTTATTTTCTAAGTTTTTAAACTTGGTTTCTACCTTATTTTCTAAATAAATTTTTTAACTTTTAGAGAACTTGAATTTTCTGAGATTTCCTAAATTTTGTTTTCTATGCTAAAATATTTTTTAATGCAATTTGAACATATTTGTTTTAAACAAATTTGACATTTCCATCTTTTATCAAAAGAAGAAAACCAATTACATTTGAAGCATTTAATATTGTCACTTCCATCTTTGTAGTTTCAATTATGGTTACAATCAAAAGATTTATTTTTTGGCTCCATTATTTTATTTAAAAGTGAATTTTTCAAGTTTTCTAACAGAATATGATTATTATTATTTTCATCTTCGAGAGGAATTTCAATTTCTTCATTTTCTATTTATTCTAGAGAGCAAATACTCCAAATTTCAGAGTTGTCTGAAATGTCTGAAGTTATTTCTAAAATATCTTCTTTTATAGTAGATATAAAATTTAATTCTCTTGTAAATAAATTTTGTTTGTTTGGGCAAACAAAAGATAAATGTGTTGATTTGTTACAAGCAAAACAAGTAATTGTATTTCTATAAGTCTTGTTAGGGTTATATTTTCTGACATATTTTTCTTTGTTTAAATACGGTTTTCTGGCATTAGATTTTCTTAAATAATTTTTCTTTATATAATTTTTCTTAAATCCAGGTTGGTTCCTCTGTTTTATCATCAGGATGCTTGTCATATTGTTGAGAAGTATAGATTTGTTTACAGAATTCTATATTCTTTTATTTTAATTCTTTTTGAATTTGGATATAAGTACATTTATTTTTAATTCAAAAATAATATATTGTATTCTTATTCCAATGTTATCAAATTCATTATTAACTTCTAATTTCTTTCAATTTTTATGAATTTCATGACCTAATGGTTCTGGTAATTTGGTAAATAATCTTTCTCCTAATTCTGTAGAAAAATATTTTTCTGAAGTGCTTGCTAAGGCATAAAAGTCTTGTAGAAATTCTATTATATGTTTCCAATCATATAATTGAATTTGTTCTAAATATCTCATGACTTCAGCCTGTCTCATAATTAATCCTACATTGACATCTTTGTCTATAATAATTCTGTGTGTTAAATATGTAAAATTATGAATATTATTTCTTTGAGTTACTAATTCTGCTATTTTTTCTGGAAAATTAACTTTAAATGCTTCCCAAGCAGCTTTAGCTATATCTCATATATAATTTTCAGCAATTTTAATCATTTCTTCACCTGTTGTAATATTATAATGTTTGCTTTAATAATATTTGATTACCAAAGAAGTCTATTGCTCAATGTATGTATCTAAAAGTTATGGATGAATATTAGTAATGTTTAACATAACTTGTTCATGTCCATACAAATTAATTTCATTAGGATTTCTTTTTCCTAATGTCCTTAGGTTATGATTGTTGTTAGTGTAGATAGCCACATGCAATCTTGAAGGATGTCCTATAGAGTAACCTATTTGAGTTGGTCTACTATTTAGAAATCTAGATGTAGCAGAGTTGCTAGATTCTTCATTTACTAAATTCTTTTCTGAATAGCTTATCTCAAAATTTTCTTCTTCTACATTCTCAATTTTTTCGAATAAATTTTTTAGACTTTGCACGTCTTCCAAATATTTTTCCATAAGGAATTTTTTGTTACACTACAAGAAAATTGGCAGATTGCGACAGGTATTTTTGTAGATTACGACGGTTAAAACCGTCGCAATTTGCTTTCCACGACGGTTGCTTTACCGTCGCAGAAGTGTGTGTCCCCAACCTATTTCGCGACGGTTACAAAAACCGTCGTTCAAGTTTACGACGGGTTGATACCGCCGTGACTATCTTTTGAGTTTCTTTTAATTATTGGTGGCGACGGTTCGATACTGTCGTGAATATCTTTTGAAATTGATTAAATTGTTTATGGCGACGGTTCGGTACTGTCGCCATGACTTTTGTTTATGTCTTGATTTTTTTTTTATTTTTCTATTATATATATTTTTTATTTAAATTATTATCTATGTAAAAAATTTTAAATATAGGTTTTTATTGTGTTATTTTTTTCTTTAAATTATTTCTTCTTTAATATATTTATTTATAGTATTATTTTTTGTTTTATTTTCTATCAATTTGTAATATAGTAAAAATAATTTCAATAAAAAATATTTAACATCAAATAAGCATTATAATATCCAAAAAAATGTGTGTTCCATAATCATGTAAAATGCGAGTTCCATAATCATGTCAAGTAGTACAAAAAACCCAAAATATATCAATTCCTAATCTTATAATAATAAGTATCATTATGCCAAAAATACATGAGAAAGTTCACAATCTAATTATCTCGATCATAGCAAAGTCTAATTTGTCCCCCCTAAAGTTCCATTATCTCCAATACGGTAGTTAGACTCAGATGAACGTCTACCATCAGCGGGTGATTCCAATCCCTAAAAAAAGGTATTAAAATAATTATCTTTAAAATAATACTCATAAAATTTAACTTTAAATGCGTCAAAATAATATACCTATCTTCCACTAAAATTCTGCGTTTGCATTAAGAGTTCAATTTCCTTTGTCCTCGCCTTGTCCCTTTGCGTTAAGAATATGATTGCCTGTGTTAATTCATCAATTTTTGAATTCTTTTCTTTAAGTGCATTAATTTCTTCTTGCATTTCCTTTATTTGTTCACTTTCTGCAGAAGAAGATGTCGATCTCGTAGATCTATTAATTTGAGATGGTGTAACTCCAAGTCCCATACTACGAACATTCCATGCTTTTCTTTTCCAAATACTTTCTGAAATGCCTCATTTTCAGACACAGAATCCTTAATTGCAGCTTGTAAAAATAATTATCAGTAAAAATAATTAACAACTGAACCATGTGAATGCAAGTCAAGCCAAAGAGTGTAAACCTGTAGAGTTGCACACTGGAATTTCCTACTCAATGCATCAGATACACTGATATCTATCTTTGGTCCATAGAATGCACCATCCCCTTCATTCAACTGCAGAGTTTTATTTGGATTATAAGCACATAATTGAAGTTAACAAATGATGCATTACATTGAAAATAATAAAACAGATATACAAAAAATAAAAGAATGTATGAGAATATAAAAAATAGTATCAAGAAACATATAATTGAATTCAAAACATGAAAAGCATATACCTGCCATGGCTTGCCAAACTCATCCAAAGCCTCCTTGAGAGCACTTTCAGCCCTATCCCACGTTTCATCATCTCCAAGCTTATTCTCTGGCCTCTACTCAAGTATTTAACACAGGCAAGGCAAAATAAATAACTGAGTCATTAAATAGATTAAACCAATTACTAACAGCAGAGTCTACCAAGCTTATCATGTACTACTATATCATGTATCAGAAGAAAAGAAAATAACAAGAAAGCTAGTTCTTTGTATTGAGGCCATATTCCCAATTATTAACTGTTCCTACTAATGTTATTTATTCACAAACTTCATCATATTTCAAACCATAGAGAAGTGTTCCTAGTAATGTTATTTATTAAACATATAAACAAAACATGTACCATAGGAAGAGAAAGACTGGTAAGATACGATCAAAATGATCTATATCAGATGACGCTCTTAGAAGGAATAATTGCAACAAAGAAACAAATAATGAAATTATCAAATCAGAATTAACTTACATTGCAGACAAAACATATAGCGGCAGTTGTTTCCAAACTATTAAACAGATTTATCAGCATCTCTTTTGGAAGCCTTTTTGCCATTTCAACAGAATCTTTTCCAACAGGATCAGAATTGTATTCTTTAACAAGAAGTGGGTGATCACAAGCCTGACGGAGACGTAAAAGCATCAAAAGAATATTTGCATAGTTTTGATTCACTGTACGGCAGCTTGTATAGAGATCTCTGGAAGACTGATAAATCATCCATGTTCAATACCCCACTGTCAAAGCATAAAAAAATGTAGTTCAGGCTACCTGTAGTACTGCAACCCGATTCTCCATGGAATGAGCATTGCTTCTCCAAACAACTTCTTGCTGACTTGTTGGCAAATGATGAACTCCCACTAGCATGAATTTCCTCATCAGAAAGTAATCCATGGTCATAGGTACAAGGCTCTCTCAAACTACAAGCTTTATCTAGCATTGCATGTCCCGGTTCACTTCCTGTAAGAACATGAGAATCAGTTGTGCTCTCTAACACGGGAGAAATTTTTTCAAGGTTGATCTTCTTCTGGCAGCCATCTTGTAGATCCAGAGACTGAAAGAGGAAAAAAGGGATTAAAAAGCCTGATTATAAGGAGGAAGTTACAATACATAAATACAATGGTGACACTAAATTGGAATTTATCTCTGACCTGTCTAGGAGTAGTAGGTGTATTTTGCAGAGTTCTACATTTATATGTTTCATCAGCATTAGTGTGAAAGCTCAACCACGTAAATGTATAGAACGATGCAACTCATTCACAAATGAGGCCTCTAAAGAACTCAGATATAATTTATGCAGTTGATCTGTCCATCGTCTAGACTTGTCCTGGTACAAAATTTTGAATTAGGTATATCCTTGCCAACTAAATGAAATGAAAATAAAAGCTTCTAAATTCACAAGCAATCAAAAACAAGGTCCAAGGACGGACACAATTTATTAAGCAAAGACACGTGGAAGACAGGGTGTGTCTTTGCTGTGTCTGGTTGCTGCAGCTTGTAAGCCACCTCTCCAATTCTAGCTAGCCAGCAACATAAATGGACCATAATAACGTGGAGCGAACTTGGGACTGATGCGCACCTCTACTGACTGCTGAACACGCATATGCAATTTCAGGAAAACCCAATCACGAACTTGAAACTACATCATTCCTGTGAGCATCAGCTAAAGGTTTCATTCTAACTTGAGCACGGTGCAAATGAAATTTCAACTGGCGTAAGCACTCATCAAGATCCATTAAATCCCTTCAATCAACAATATGTAGATTTTTTCAGTTCATACCGTTGAAAGTTTCAGTTCATATGTGAAACCAAATATTTGATAGACATAATCAATGAAGTCCAAGGCTTTTCTCACTTCATCTTTAACCTGCAAAATGAATTAATAGAATAATTTCAGCTTCAGCTTAAAAGATATCATAAAAATTATATTACATAAATTTACGTTAACACACCTGGGACTCCCTGCAGAAAATATGTGCATCATCCTGTCCAACACACAAAGTAAAGGGCATAAACAATACAGAACTAATAGTATAGAAAATAGAAGTTAAAGACAAGGTGATAATCAGTCAAAATAGCTTGCAATGTTCCTCCTATTGTAATTGTACCATACCTTTAGATAAATGAAGAATATCATCATGAGAAGAGAAAATTTGATAATTTATCTACACTAACTCACATCCACATAGGGAATATAAGAGTGGCTTCGCTTGGTGGTAGGGTGGAGGAGATAAGGACGGGAGTGAAAAGGAGGTTGGAGGTCCGATCCCCATCCAAACATAAAACTAACATTTTTTGTTTTAAAAAATACTACCATTCACACCATAAATACAACCCCACAATTGGGGTGCTCCAATATTCACACCATAAATACAACCCCACAATTGGGGTGCTCCAATATTCAGACATGAGGTGTTAGTGCTAATCTTCTAAAGCAATCACAACACTGGTTGGAGAAATGCAAGTGAGTCTTTTAACCACCAGCTGCTTAGTTGGCATTCCATAAGCTATACCATACTCATCCCAACCACTTTTCACAGCCACACAGTCATCCCCGAACACTATATAACAGTCCTCAATCCGCGTGTTCGTGCAAGAGTCTGTGCCATAAACCATAAACCACAATCAGTCCCGGATATACTAGACTATACATCGCAACATCTTGAAAAAGATGTATATACTAACTTAACTTACCAGGGTTGATCCCATCTGTATTTGGCGAATTCACAGGAGCGAGAATTGAGATGCCTCGAACAACAATGTTGCTGCATTCAATTTCTTTATATCAGAAAACTCAGAACAATAATGTAGCAGATTGATAATTGATAACAGACACCACAAAGAGAAAAAGATGAACCTGCTATAAACAGGATGAACGTTCCAGGATGGAGAATTAACCAAAGTCAGATTCGACATCTGAATATCATCTGAGTGCATGATTTCAATCAGGTAAGGCCTGGTATAGCTAAGCTCCCCCTTATGGAACTTTTGCCACCACACTTCACCTTGTCCATCTAATGTTCCATTGTCCCCTATTCAAATTCATAGTTAAAGCAACCGAATTTTAGTTCCCAAAAGCATAACCGGATTGTACAGTTCAATCTTCGATTACACAGAAATAGCAGGCAAACTGACAACAATCATCGATCTTATAAGTTACCTGTTATGACTATATCAGTGAGGTTGGTTCCAAAAATTAGACTGCTATATCGTCCGCCTTGAGTGTCCCTCCCTCGACCATAAGACGGTAAGGGCTCAATCACCGGCCACTCACTTTCGTCCTAAAAAGTCACATCACGAACATAATATCAACATTCAAAGCACTTCAATTACATCACATTTGCATATTCATATAGATGTACAAGACTAGTTAAGCTAATAATCAAACCTGAGAGGCAAGAATGACTGCATCTTTGTGTAGGAACAAAGTGAAATGACTGGTGAGATTGAAACTACCAGTCAACCATCTTCCTGGTGGAACATAAAGTTGAGACCCGCCGTTCGACGAGTACTGACTCAGATGATCTACAGCCGTCTGAAAGGCCCGCGTGTTCGAAGTTTGTCCATCGCCAACCGCTCCAAACTCCGTCACTGAGGCACTGTAAGCTCTGCAGCTCACAGCACAGTACTCAACATAGTGCTCCACAGCCAGTGTTTTTCGGCTCTCGACTACATTCAAGCCTGGCAAAGCAACCAATAGAGGCAGTAACAACATGCGCTTAAGAAAACAATGAAGGCTAGTTTAATGAAAAGGGCTAAAACATGGATAGTGGCTAAAAAAGAATAGATGATACAAAAACTAAACTCAGAAATCTCTGCTCAGTTATAAAGAAAAGTGAAATATCAAAGATGGAGAGGAAGATGATGAAGAGAATGGCAGAGAATGGCATCAGGTTTATAACCCCTGTCAACCATGCGCTTAAGAAAGCGGAGAGCTCGATTGTACTTAGCTGATTTGAATGACCTAATGAGAGCTTCATCGTAATCTTGATCAAGTTTTGGCCTTGTTTCATTGACCCTGATTCTTGTTCTTCGGTTGTTGGTGTTGCCCGGCGTTGAGGAAGTGACGATAGTGTTGGGATTTGAATGGCGAGAAGTGCAGTTTGGGTGGTTTCTGAAATTGAGAGTGTGTGATAAGAATTCAGTTGAAAAGGTTGTCATTGATGATGATGATGATGTTATCGGTTGTTGTTGGAAGATTTATGGCTTGAGTTTGGACAAAATTCAGTATCATAGAATGGATAAGGGACGATACATATTTTATCCTAACCAAATATTATCCTAAAAAATCATTAAAAAAAATAAAACCCTAAAACAACAAATTAGAAAACCTAACATCAATTCAATATATTCAAACTCAAATGAAAGGTTTAAGGGTGCGACGGTTGTTTTACCGTCGTGAAATGAATTTTAGGACGGATAATTTTACCGTCGTGAAAGGTTTAAGGGTGCGACGGGTGCTTTACCGTCGTGATATGCCTTTTAGGACGGTTAATTTTACCGTCGTGACTAGTTGTTGGTGAAAAATCAATGTTAAAAGTGTTAAATAGGGGCCGACGGTTGTTTTACCGTCGTAATAATAATATTATGATGGTTAAATATACCGTCGCAAAATAAATATTAGGGACGGTTGGTGTCAACTGTCGTAAACACTGTCTCTATATGTCAATTACGACAGTTATCACATAACTGTCTCAATTTTTGTGTCGTTAAACACTAATTTTCTTGTAGTGTTAGTATTCGGATTTGATAATTCTATTTCTGTATTGTATTTTTCCATTAAAAGTTCATCATTATTAATTTTTTTAAATTCTTCTAGTGTTAAGACTTTTTCAGTCATCTTCACTAGTTTGCTTATGGGTTTCCTCAAAAATTTTAAATCTTAAGGCTAAAGAGTCTTTGGTAGTATAAGTCACAACCTTTGTAGGTGTTAATGTTTCAGCTTTAGTTGGAATATTGTTTTTAATTTTTCATTCCTCTCCAGCTAAAAGAGAAGGGGGAATTGGTTTTGGGTCTAAAAAGTTAATTCCTCTTGATGTGATTGTTTTAACCATATCATCCATTTTTAGTTTAAATTTTGGTGAGACTTGTGTTGATAATTTTCCGAGAGAAATAATGTCTATCACAATATTTGATCCTTTAAAATTTTTAAATCCTTTACTCTGAACTTGAATTTTTATGTATTTTAAATCTTTAATTCCTATAGTAAAGTTTGGACATAAATAATGGATTCCACAATTATTATTCATGTCTACTTCGATTACTCCCATAATTTGTCTATTTAATTCTGAATACCCAGTATCTAATAAGGCTATTAGTACTTTGGCACCATTTTGTTTCATTATTAGACCTCTTATACCCGCTGCGATTAATCCTAAATGTACATAATTCATTTGTTTTTTATTTAATTAATTTATACTATCATTTGTTAATAATCCAAATTCTTCAATATGATCATCCGGTAATTCTAGCATTTCTGACCAGTGCATTCTAATTAAGCTTGAATTATTTTCAAGTAGTCCAGACCTATATAGTTGGGTTGGTCTTAAGAGATTAATGTGGTCATTTGTCATAATTTCTAAGTCTATATTAGTATCCACAATTTGTTCTAATTGATAAGAATTTTTATCTTCTTTTCTATTTAAAAGTCTATTTAAGTAGGAAGTATTTTGAGTTTGATTTAAAGTGGTAGTTCTAAATGAACTAGCCTCCTCATCCATTAATATTCTATGTCGGCCAATAAAACATTCATAATTTCAAATGTTTTTTTAACTTCTTTTGTATTATAAGTTAAGAAGTTTTTGGTTCTAGTACTTGTTATTTTTCTTTCAATACTTATTTGTGAGAATTTTTCAGTTAAAGAATCTATAGATACTTTTAACTCTTCTGACCCATTAATTGGAGTACCACTTAAATTTTCTCTTAATAATTATTCTAAAATTTCTAATTTATTTTCTTGTTTATCTAAACAAGTTTTGAGGTAATTTATATTGAATTCCATTTATGGCTCAGATCTCAGGCTCTGATACCATTATAAAGTGAGAATATAATGAAAGTGAGAATATAATTTCTTTCCAATATAATAGTGATAATACAATATGAGAGTGTATAAAATATGAAAGTGTATAAAATAATGATATGAGAGTATTTAAATACTAGAGTGTTGAATATGAGAGTGGTGGATGACATTGTAATAAAAGTCTATAATAAATTATGTAAGCAGATAAGTCATGTAGTATAATATTTAAATATATAAGTGTAAGTGTAATAGTGTAAGTAGATATAATAATATGTAATAATGATAATAATGAATGGTATATGTGTAATGAGTGTAATAATGAATGTGTTAATAATATAGAAAATATTCTTAAGCCATTGATAAAGTAGATAAGTCATCTTTTATGATAATAATCATGGTGTAAAATGTAGAGAGTTGTTGAAGAGTTAAGTCTTTTTGAAATTTCAAGAAAGAAGAATGTGTAGTCCTATTACTATTTTTAATATGTAAATTAATGGATTCTAATTCTTTTTCTAAATATGAAATAGTTCTTCTATATTCTTTTAAGTTTGTTCTTTCTTTGGATAAGTCCATATTGTCAGAGTTATTCGCAAGGAAGTTGTAGCGGTAAAATCAATGAAATCGCCACTGAGTATTTATTTATCCCATAAAAGGGAAAGAAAAATCATCATAGAAAAACCTAGAGGGGGAAATCAAGGTCTTGCGACCGAGAGATTGGGTAAAGGAGTCGGTTACGCGAGAGGAAGGTATTAGCACCCCACACGTCCATAGTACTCTACGAGATCCACTCTTGTTATTCTAATCAAAGGGTGTGTTCAATATAGTTCTTAAGGGTTATAAACTAAGAGGGAATGCATGCAAAGAAAACACGGGGAAAAGAAGGAAGTATTTACAAATTTTCACTCGGCTGAGCCCCGTGACCAGATGCCTACGTATCCCCTTTAAGGAATCAGAGCACCGTAGTTCAACTCATATATTTTTGTTTGTTTGTATCTTTTAAATGAACAATATTGCATTCGATCATTCCACCGCTGCTCAACCTTTGGAGACTTATGACTTGTAGTGGAAAGGAGCTAACATGCTCTTATAAGAGAAAAGCCGAATGGCGAAAAAGAAATGGA